GTGCTGGCCTTGTACTTCAGTGTACTTGTTGGGGACACATCCTACCTTTGTGTCTGAGGCAGATATGCTTCAGTAGAGTGGGATTTTGGCCACAGAGATGAACTGCTAAGTGGAAAAAAAAAAGTCTAGCTAGGGCACTAAGCCTTCTCTTAGTGTTTATTGTGAAATTTCTTTGAATATATAATAACTTCATAGCTTTATTACATAGCTTACATAAACTAGTCATAAACACATTGACTTGGAATTCCTTATTTTTGTGCAAAACCTTATTAAATATATTAAATATTTTAGAATCAGTAATTATTTCCATCTGCATTTATCTTTATCTATTTTTAAATATTTCCAAAATACACATATATAATCCAAGAAATACAAGCCTACAGTTTGGGAATTTTGCTCCTGTAGAACAAGACGCTTTTCCTTTAAATGGAATGTAGTCATACAAGAACTGAGGATGTGGTGTGCAGGCACAGCTTCTGTAATGTTAAAACTGTTGAAAGAATGTTCTAGAGAGAAAGATAAGCATTTACTAGAAGTGCTTATATCTCCAAATCTCATACAGAATAATATCTTTTTAGAGAAACACAGATAGCTAAAAATTTTAATAGTCTTCCTTGAGTAAGCTACAATATAAAATAGCATAACCACATATTAACAATAAAACAACCCCTTTATGAAGAATTCACAATGTAGTCGTTGTTATTTATGGATATTTGACTGGAAAAGGTTATATGTTTAATTTTTAATGCAATGAACATATGTATCTATCTGCACATATATGTAGGAAGCCGCGGCGGGTGCTGGCAAAATCCGCCATTGGAAGATGGTTCTGGCTTCTGGGATTCTTCCTAGTAAACAAGTAAATTGCGCATGTGCCATGGTAAAAGTCCGCCAAAGTTAAAGCCCATCCCACAGCATTTTGGCGTGCAACGAGTAAGCAGCCAATCAGAGGTGAATACACCGCTCTAAGGGTATATAAGCAGTGCTTTTCCCAGGCCTGGGCGTCTTCCACCATTTTGTTTTTGGGAATAAACGTGTTCCTACGGAAGGATCCTGATGTGTGTGCGTTCTTGCTGGCGAGACGATTACACACGCGTCCCACAGTTGGTGCCGAGAAACCCGGGAGAATCCACCATCGCCGGTGCTGTTTAAGAAGACCCTCCATGCGTGGAGTTAATCCAGAACCGTAGGACAAAGTAAAGCTCTCTGAGAGATATGTTTGGACTTGATTTATTTCGTCTCCCTCCCCAGGCAGTGCTCGTCCTCCTCCTTCTGGTTTTGCAGGATGAGAGAAGCCGCTCAACTGTAGCGGCGGCCCAGGGAGTGGTCGACGGATTGCAGGCCAGCATGTCAGAAACAGAGGGAAAGAAGCGCTTAAGAGTTCAGAAAAAAAAGGGAGCTCAGAAAGAAAAAGGAAAAAAAGGCATGTCTAAGAAAAAAAACCCTTCCAAAGACACACAGTCCAAGGAAGCGAAAGATGAGGGAAAGGACGCCCTGGGAGAGGAACGT